TTTTCCTGCTCCCTCTTGGTATTTGTATCTACTAAAGAGACTATCCTAATGAAAGTTGGTGCCCTTGCCTTTCTTCTTCATGGCTTAAGGCCAAATATTGTGATTTTATATTGATTAGCCAAGCGACTCTCAATTATTCAAGTTGTGATTTATCCAAGACCCTTGATACTTCTTCATTGTTTCACTAACTTGTGCCCACTTGACTGTCTTTCAAAGGGCGGATAAAAATGGAGAGAAGGAATACTCCAATCAGTCAGTTTGCCATGCTTTAAAAAATAAAAGAGATTCTACTCGTTCAGTTCAAAGGCATGTTCAGGTGTAGAAGATTGCAAGTACCAGCTAACATGGGGCCCTAAATCTATGTACATTCAAATTATAAATGCTCTCTCTTTCCTCATTCATGGAGAGCTGGAGTGATTTCTATAAATGCAGATATCATACATTTTTTTCTTCAATGTTATTATATGATAAATTAATAAGGTACCATGTGAATTTAAGTAGTTGGTAACATATAAAAGGATGACAAAATTTCAGAACTCCACAAAGACATAAAATAAAGTTCCATATATACATATATATATATACTACGTATATATGATGCATGTAAACATCAATTTGTAGTGTAGTATTTTTAGATGGCGTGGACTAAAGTTTATTACTGTATTGAGACTAAGCATGCTGATTGCCCTTGAGCCGGTTTTGGTTGAAGAAAAAGGTTGCATTTAGTTATTACAGGGATACACGGTGATAGAAACCTGAGGAACACCGGTCTAAGCAAGGAGAAAGTATCCAGCTAAAAGTAGAGGAGAAACATGTGTACATAGATAACTCACTAACCATGCCTAAAATTAAAGGGCTCTGCGACTTGTTGGAAAGAAATGATTACAGGGCTAGGTCCCTGAAATTCTGCCAAAATGGTGGTACCTCATGTGCACATCTCTGGGGAGGCACACAGAATGGCAAAGACAGAGGGAGTGATAATGGATATTGTGTACGAAGACATGGCACATCTATCCTAACACAGTGGAGGCGATGCACACGATAACAGCTTTCAGGGTTAAGTACCTAGCCCCGGTGAGGATGAGAAGAGAGACATAGAGACTTTGCTACGTTTACCTCCAGTTACTAAGAAGAATGACCGAAGTAAACATATTGCGGACAATGAAGAAAACCAGACTCCACTAAGTAAGAGTCAGAAGTGGAGCTCCGAAGGCATTTTGAGAAACGGGAGATGGTTGAATGTGACAAATGCTGCAAAGAGGTTGAAGAAAGATGAGGTTTGAAAATTGGACTGGCCCTTGGGCTTAGTTGTAATGAGGTCATCAGAGACCTCACCGAAGGTCAATTCCTCCCCAGCGACACGGGCACAGACTGGGCGAGATGAAGTTGAAAAAGGAGTCTGGTGAGAAAAATTGGGGGCAGTACATACAAGAAAACATAGTTTAGGAATCAATGCGTGACAAGGAATTAAGATCTGGAGTCTACTGGTCAGATAATTTTTGGTGCTCGTGAAAATTTAACAAGGCTTTTAGGTTATGCCAAAAAAAAAATCTCAGGGCTTGAAATAACTTCATTTGCACTAGAGATATATTCAGGACATAATTTCCACTGCATTTCTTTAAATTCCTTACTTACCTGCTTATCCTTAGGCTCAAGGTACATAAATAGCTACCTCTAGGAAATGTCAACCTAGCCCATATACACAGAAGAGAGAGAAATTAAAGAGAGAGAAAGTCAGAGAGCGAGGAGCCGAGGAAGTAAGGAGAGAGAAAGAGAGAGACAGATGTGCACACACAAGGATGCACGGGAGGACACCCATGTACACACAGACATGCATAGTAGCAAGAAAACCAGAGGCTGCTAGGACCAATGAGTTTGCTCTTCTGTAAACTGTTTACATTCATGACTACTTTCTAACTAAAAATCCTAAGTTTTGGACTCGGGAATTTGCTGGTTAGTCAGCAGAAACATTTTCAGTATTGCTCACTATATAATGTATACTGTATGATACCATATTTGATAAAAAGCAAGCACTTAGAGTTACATAAAAATAATTATGGAGAGAGGTCATGACTCAGCCTTGAGAGAGTTAATGATAGAAAAAAAGAGACTATATTCTTTTAAAAATGTGTCAGCAGGCATTAAATCTAAAATCCAGCAACTTTTAAATCATTCCTCTGTGCAGACACTATTAAAGGTAAACTTGTTTTCCGACTGGGGTAAGAGACCATTGTGGAACGTTCCATCCTGTGTGAGGGCAGAGTTACATCAGGAGGCTCTTATGGTCATGCTAGCACCAGGCATTGATAAGTGTGAAATTATCAGCAACTGAACAGTGGGGGAATACATTTTTGCATCAAAGGTGCCCTTTACTCCTCAACCAGAAAACCAAACTGCTGATTCAAATGAGCAGACCACTTAAAATTAAGCGATTCTTCATCTGAAAACTCCATATGCTGTATTTAACTACTCATTTCTAGGGATTTGCCCTTTTTTTCGTAGAAATCACTTTTAATGTCCCAGGGAAATTTTAGTGTTAGAGGTTTTCGTTAAACAAAAAGCAACTGTAGGATGTCCATGTTATTTGGAAACTATGTTTAATGCAAATTTACACAAAGGGGATATGTCACTCTGGGTCACTCCTGGATATTCTTTTTGGGCTTTCTCTGTTGGATATGCAATCTCAGCTAAATGTTTTGAAGAGGCTGAATCAAATAAATTGCCCTATTTTGGGTCTTTCTCATCTGTATACAGTTGTGCAGCTCTACTAGACCTGAAAATTGCCCAGAGACAAACTTTAAAAAAAATAGAGTGCTTTTGAGGCAGAAAATTGCTTTTCTGCAGTATGGTCTGAAGGACAGGCAGTGACAAGGAGACAAGAAGTTGTCACCATGCAGTGATATTGTAGAGCAGATCCTCCATAACAGAGGAGATAATTTGTTTTTATTTTCTCCCTTATTAGACCACAAAAGGATTCAGCACAGTAATGCCATGGCTTTGACTTAAACCCTTGAAAGCAGATGCACAATTAGATTTTTGAAAGTCCATCTGTAACCCGTAGATGGTAGTTAGTTTCTCTGGAAAACAAATCGCTTAATATACTAGATCATTCAGTATTTCCCAATTTCTTCACCAGCCCTAAATGTTTAGGCTTTGGGATAAAATATAAACTTACTGTAGATAGCCTTGGTTTTTGTATATATAAGTCAGCTCCTTAGTAGCATTTCAACAAGGCTTTTGTAGTTTAATACACCAAAAAAAAAAAAAAAAGTATTTTATGTATTTGGATTGTCCCCTTGATATTTTTGGAAGATTTTTTTATGTGGTTTAATTTCCATTTTTATGGTGGTATGAAGGAAAAATGGGAGAAAATATGTCTTTGGTGTGTTAAGGGATTTGAAACTCCTTTGGGCCTGTTATCATGTTAATGAGACAGTTGAGAGATATCAGGGTTTTGTGTATTAATCTTAGCAGGCATTTGCACACTAGAACTGCGCATTTAGAGGTTTAATGGCATTAGCTGTGAATTTGCACAAAATTAACAAAAAAGTGTCTCCACATTATGGATCCCTAATACCAAATGGTTATTAAAACCTATTTATGGTATGTACACAGTGAACCCTATCTAAGGATAAAATATTTCAGTTAAGATTTTTTTTTTATGGTTTTCCAAATATTTTGTTTCAACTATTCACACAGAGGATTTTCTAAATGGCTATATACCTGACCAAGAGATCTATTCCAATGTTAATATTCTTTGAGCTCAGTAATTTTTTTTTTTTAAAGTTTAACAGAAAGCTTTCGTTCCTTTTAAGACTTGTTTCTTTCGCCCCACACCAATCCAGAGATGTGCACGGTGAAATCACACCAGTAGAGTTGACTAAGTGGAAATGAAGACCAGCTGGACATTCTTCACTTTTCATCTTTTACTAAATTATTGAACTATAAATTCATAGAGTGGAAGGCACTTGAGAAATCATCTAGGCCCGTGAAGAATCACTCCCATATAGAGTTATCCTTTTGTTTTCTCATGCTAAACCATATGAGATGTACTAAGTACCAGTGATCCCATTTTTTAAAAATTTTTCTTTCTTCCAAAATATGTATCATTTGCACAGCATACATCTTTTTTGATGCAAGTCATTCTTTTTTCATTCAACAAATATTTCTTGAACACCTGAAAGAAGTAATAGTAGCGATGTACTACAGATAATCTCTAGACCCAGTGCCTCTCACAGAGTTTACAATTTAGAAGAGCATGAAATCGAAGCTCCTAAATAGCTTTGTTCATATTCTTCGCTATAGTGAGACTGAAGCTGAGATGATCCATAGTACATATGTTGGCTGGTCACTCTCCTTGGGCACAATGCTTTGACCTTTCTGTTTCCAGAGTTTATTGTGACCCACCTTCATTTTTCTGTTACAACAAAAAAGATCACTTAAGACAAATATCTTCAAATGGATATAGCTATCTTTACATCATTTTTGGAATTCAACTTTCTTTCACTTAAACCTAGCCCCTTTGTTGGAAATCTAGAAGCATCTGAGTCTCCTCAGTGCCTACTTTATAGACCGCATCAGCAGACGGTGGATGCATGTTTGGTGAATAACTACTGGTCATGTTTCTAGTCTGACTCCTGAAGGAGAGTGCCCAAGAGATCACTACTTATCGGTGGGACTTTCATTGGAATTCTCCGCGACTTAGCTGTCATTTATAGTGAGTCCACATTTTGGATGATAACTGCAACTTTTCCTGTACAACTGAACGTTTTACACCGTTTCCCCTGAAATGTTAACACGTATCACCTAAATAGCTTCTGCCTATGAATTTCACACGGAATCCGTAATCGGTGTGTCCTGTAAGTGCTACTCTGGAGTTATTGTACAGAGACATCCAGCAGGTAGGCCCTATCTTCGTTAGACACGGATGTGCTGAGCTGCAGTGGTCCCAACGCTGTGGCAGTCTTGCTGATATGTTGCCCTGCCTCTGGCCTGCTCACCTTTTTCCTGCCTGTCCACCGTAGTTGTAACCTCTGACTCCTTTGGTGAAAAATGCTCCATTATTTTCAATTTGTGCTATGCCCATCTCCTGCCTTGGTCTATTAATCCACGCCAACCACAGGGACAAATGGAAGCAGATGATTGCACACTCAGCATCAACATTGTTGAATCTCTATCACAGATTCTGAGGACTTGGCCCGAAGTGTACTCGGGAGACTCATATGGCATAAGCGGCTCTCAGTTCACAGATGGGCCATCTCACACCAGGATTTCCGACAAACGCCCATGTAATAATATCAGAAAAATCACACAATGGCTCTCGGTGATAAATAACCCAGTAACTTTTATAGAACACTTTAAACCATTAGTTCAGGAGTAAGTTACCTTTTTTTAAAAAAGTCTTACTCTAGAGAATGAATTTTTAGAAATCTTCACTTTTTCTGAATCTACATTTAATCATAATTATGAATATACCAATAGAAAATTCACTTCTAAATTGATTTCTTAAAGGTTTATAATTGAATTTTAATCATGTAAAAGGAAAGTAAAAGCCATGGTTATTGAAGGTCTCCCCACTTTACCCTCTTCATATCCTATATCATGTTTTTTACATAAAGGATAAAATAGTCACTAAGCTAATGATGTCAATTTAAAAATGATGGTGAAGCATCTGACTCTTGGTTTCGGCTCAGGTCCTGGGATCCAATCCTGTGTCAGGCTCCACGCTCAGCGTGGAGTCGGCTTGAGATTCTCTCTCCCTCTGCCACTCCCACTTGTGCTGTCTCTCTCTCTCTCTCAAATAAATAAATAAAATCTTAAAAAAAAAAAAAAAAAAAACTTAGGGCGCCTGGGTGGCTCAGTTGATTAAGCGACTGCCTTTGGCTCAGGTCAGGATCCTGGAGTCCCAGGATCGAGTCCCTCATCAGGCTCCCTGCTCAGCGGGGAGTCTGCTTCTCCCTCTGACCCTCCCCCCTCTCGTGCTCTCTATCTCTCATTCTCTCTCCCTCAAATAAATAAATAAAATCTTAAAAAAAAAAACTTAGAGAAAAGTTTGTGTCGCCTCACTTAGATAGTGCTTTCAGGTTGTTCTCCCCAACCTCCTAGGGATGCTAGAGGAGAGGCACGTCTGGAGGCACCCAGATGCCTTATCCCTGTCTCGCTCTGAATGTGGTTGTTTTTCTATGTTGTATGTGACTGGCATCCTCATAACATTGTATTTGAGCCAAGCGTTCTGCTAAAGTAAAAGTTTGAAATTCAGTGTAGAGTTGCAGGACAGAAATGACTTTGTCACAAGATAGGATTCCAAAGTACCTTCAAAATCATCAACAAAATTAAACAAACACATTTAACAGGAACAATATAATATTCATCTTTGCTGTTATGAATATGATACTGTAATGTAAGTATTAAGCATTTTAGACTTCATGTTTTAGCATGTAGTATGTGTGCAGTATACAGAAATTTTCTTTAAGCAAACTATCCAGTTGAACAGATTGATTATCTAATAATTCTGATAATAGGAATTTAATCAGTTATAGATTAAAAACCCTGTGTCATTTACTTAGAAATAGATCAAAAAGCAATAAACTATGCACATAATTGTCACTTTTATTAATAGTTGTTTCAAACTATGTTTTAAAAAATCATTACTTTTTGGAAAATTTTTCTTTATGTAAATTAGATTTTACACATTTTGACAATTTTTCATTTAAAGTCCAGTTCTTCATATTACAAAGTAATTCAAGTATTGTCTCCATATTGCTTTTTATCAGATTACTATAGTGCTAGCTTATAAGTTAATTGTTTTGATTTATATCAATTTATATTAAATTTTTGGAATTATTTAAAATTTTGAGCAACTTTAAATTTAAACTTAGACCTTTACTACTTGAATTAGCGGCTAACTATTCATGTCAGATGTTTGAAAATTTTTACACACCTTGTGATCTTGGTGTTATTATCTAAGGTATATATTTAAGGTATTTATTTGAGTGAATCTATAAATGTGGGCAAAAGTTGGATAAATAATTATCACAATTGGAATGTACAAATTTGTAGCTACTATATAAATTTCCCTACCTAAATTTGGTTTTCAAAAAGATTTAACTGGAGAGAGTAAAACAATATTTCCCATTAGTCAATGACTGAACTTAGGTTGACGAAGAAGGATTGGGGACAGTTTGATTGCATTCTCAGCTGGCTTTTGCCCAAATGGCCAGGTGGAATTTTAGACCTGCTCTCTTTGGAGGCAGATCATTTTTGTTGGACTTAACTATTTGTGTCTGTTTTGGGAGAACTTACCACAACGTGTATAAATGTCAAATAATATGTAATAAATATACTACTTTTATTTTTTAATATTTAAAATGTACTAAAATTGGTCCTTTAGATATTTTTAATCCACTGAATTTTTCTGAGAAGTATTCCATAAAATGTATTCTCTAATTAATATGTTAGCCTTACTATTATTATTTTTTTAAAGATTTTACTTATTTATTAGAGAGAGAGATGGCAAGAGCAGGAACACAAGCAGGGGGAGTGCAAGAGGGAGAAGCAGGCTTCCCGCAGAGCGGGGAGCCCGATGCGGGGCTCGATCCCAGGACTCTGGGATCATGACCTGAGCCAAAGGCAGACGCTTAACGACTGAGCCATCCGGGAGCCCCTAGCCTTACTATTATTTACCTCAGGCTCCAGACTCCTCTTAGCCTCTCCGTACCTGACAAATAACTTGCTCTCCTACTGGAAAGATTGAGGGTCAAAGTGAGATCCTTTTACTTTCTTCTCAATTAATATATGTGCTGTTTCAAAATGACTGTATTTTCAGCCCTCTTTTTCCTTCCTTTCTTTCTTTCTTTCTTTCTTTTTTCTTTCTTTCTTTCTTTCTTTCTTCTTTCTTTCTCTTTCTTTTTCTTTCTTTTCTTTCTCTTTCTTTCTTTCTCTTTCTTTCTTTTTCTTTCTTCTTTCTTTTCTTTTCTTTCTTTCTTTCTTTTTCTCTTTCTTTCTCTTTCTTTTTCTTTCTTTCTTTCTTTTTCTTTCTTCTTTCTTTCTTTTCT